GATCTCAATAAAAACTTCTTATAAGAAAAGTCATAGGACAACGAGATGGGTGGAATGCCTGCAAGTATATTAGCAATTTCCGTAGGAGCAGTTCTAAAAAGTCTTGTGATTGCCAGCAGCCAGCCTCTCTGGATAGAATTCAATTTGTTCCTTAGTCTCAGCAACTCCGCCGCCCTAAAACCCCAAGCTCCAACACCATTCATTATAATAGGAGCAATAACACATTCCTAAATTTGTTTCATAGTTTTACTCTTAACGGCTAAAATCTCACCAGAGAAAGATCTCTATAACGCTATTGTCTCCCTCCCTCATTTCCGGATCCTTTCGTGGTGTAATTGGAAGTAAACTCGAAGCGTATTCAAGAGATACAGGGTTCGAGTCCCGGCGAGAGCATTGCACATTTTCCAAGTTTTCTACTTCAAAAAATATAATAATGACTCTACAAGTGGCGCCCGAACTAAAAAACGTCGTGGACGATAATTATTGACCACCAGGATTTGGCGATTGGGTCTCTTCAAACCCCCGTCGGCCTTTGAAAGGGGCAGTATAAAAAGTATTTTCTCGCTCTTTTCCACATCCTTCGTAGTGTCATTGAAAGATATTCGATGCGTATTCTAGAGGTCCAAGGTTCGAGTTCCGGCGAGGCGAGGGCACTGCACATTTTTCATGTCTCTAGCTTCAAAAAACGCCTAATGACTCTACAAGTGGCGCCGAACTAAAAAAAAAGTGGTGGACGATAATTCATCCCCACTGGGATTCGGCGATTGTGTCCTCTCATCCCCAGTCGTCCTAAGGTATTTCCTCCCTCTGTAACTGAAAGCATACTCGATGCGTATTCGAGAGGTCCAAGGTTCAAATTCCGGTGAGGGCGTTGCATATTTTGCACGTCTTCATCTTAAAAAGAAACCTACTGTCTCTGCAACTTAAATGGAAAACTCCAACTGAAATTTGTAGAAAAACGATGGAAGAGTATGGTAGCGAATTTTAAATCGCAGTCAGTTGCGTAGACATCACATTCTTCTATTCGGCTGATGAAATCTAACCAATCGAACGCAAGTAGACCTAGAAAAGGAATTTTCATGAACAAACAATGCTGAAATAGGTGCCTCTAATAGGCGAAATGTATCGGGCCTATCGGTTCTTAAGTTGAAAAAGAACTAAGATATGTAGCTTCACAGTGGATATACGTAACTTATCTATTAAACTTTTGCAAAGGGGGGGCAACAACAATAATAACAATGTATTGTGTTTTTTAGTTTCACCCTCATATTTTGTTTCTGTGTTAGAAATTAGATAAATATACAATTTGCAATTTGTATATGTGTAAACAAAATGTTTGTAACTAATAAATGGCTTGTATAATTTATTTTCTATTAATAACCTCTTATAATTTTCTTATTACTTGGCAACTAATTCACAGCTTTATTTACTGATTATAAGCCTACTTATTAAGTTTTTTTCCCCAAGGCATAAAGCTATGGTCTTAATCAGTTTACACCTAACACAGGCAAATGAAATATTTTAGATGCGCTATCATTGGAAGCTATTCATTTATACTATCTCTTTAAGAAATATGGAACCGAAAGTTAAGGAAAAGGCAGTGGCACTAGAAAACAAAGTTTACTGTGTCTGAAGTCAAAGTAAATACTGTTGAGTTGATGCAAATGAAATGTTAAGGTAAAAAGTTCTTTACTGTTGAAGAAGAGGAACCAATGTACCCTACATCGGCAGAATTTTATCCAAAATCTACGCCAGTCTTTTAATGTTTTGTGGTCTGATTTTAAAATGGAACTATCTCCTTCTATGGGTGTAAATGTGATTGATAGTTCATCACATTAATTAAAACACATTGATAATTCATCATTTTCAAGTCACTTGTGCCTACCGCTATAATAACCGTGCAATACTCGCTTTCCACTATAAGTGACAATTCGATGTATACAATCTCATTGCTCTGTTCACTGGCAAAGAGAGAAACTTCTGACTTCCAAATGAGTTTGTGAATTCTCTGAAACACCGATGTAGCTGGATTTTCTACATCTTTCTTAGGTATCGAACGATAGAATATATTCCAATCTTTTATGTTTGAACTGATTAAATCAGATACATTCCGGTGACGTCGGAAGTCACCTGATGTAAGAACTGCTAATGTAAACAAACAAGCATGTGCTGTGGTAGATGCGTTGAAAATTATGAAACTTTGTTTACTTTTAATTAATTATGAAATTTGCATTTCATCTTAAAGTATTATTTCACCCATTAATTAACTGTTCATTCATTTGGTTAGTATAATTTTGGTAACTCGTAGGTTATTGTAATATTCACGATACTCTTTTGCTTGCTGCTTTACCATGTTTTGATTGTTAAATATTTATTTATGAATTCTTTTCTTGATCTGATAATTAATTCATTTATAAAAAATGTAAAAATGAATATATTAAATCATGTTTACATAGAGTGAAAAGAATGAAGTTACTATAAATATTTTTTATCATAATTTTATCAGCTTAACAAGCAGAACGGTAAATATAAATAGTCGGTTTCTGAAAATCGTAACAGTCAAATTTCTGGAGCACTGTAAATGCAGTTGGCCCTTAAATCATGTAAGAATTACGATGCCAATGTTCTGCGCAGTTCAAAATTAATATATAATTTTATACAACTTAAAACTTAATTTTCAGCAACTGACTATTATCCTATTGATAGTATAAACTGCAAATTAACACATTTTGTATACTATAATATAAATGTCACAAAAAATAATAGAGATTTGTGCAACTGAGTTCAATGCAGTACTAGCTGTGAAACTGATAATTTTTGATAATACAATTTTCTTCATTTTATAATAATAAAAAAGTACTATCTGTATACATTTTGAATATTCAAAAAAATGTGAAGTTTTTTTAATCTTGTAAGTTACATAATTTATGTGCAGAATTTTTTATTTTAAAATCATGTAGCTCAAAAAGATTTTTAGGTGTATTTATTGAAAAGATCTACCATAGGAAATAGACTAGTGTAATTCTAATGCATGTTATCTCAAACTATGGTCTGACACAACCACTGATTTTCAAGGACTAAATATACATGCTAATTTAATATTTAAACTAAAAAACTCAGCAATCTCCCATGAAAATTTAGAATTAAGTATAATTCTTATAAAAATGTTTCAGTATTACTGATGTTTCTAATATTACAGCTGTTGGTGTCCTTAATATCTACAATGGAAGGTATTAAAAAATTAACATTCCGCTATTTATGTGTATTCATTAAAAATCGATTACAACAGCTAAAATATTAAAACATAGCGTGATGAAATTAATAAAATTTTAGCAGCATAAAATGTTCTATGACACTAAATAATATTAATGAGAGAAAATTGGCTTTGTATTTATGTTCTTGCAGATAAACAGCTCTTTCCTGAATTAGGATATTTCAGTAATTTAGAACAACTATTCATATGAACTATCAATATACTATTATTACACTGAAAGTTTGGAAAACATTATTCAAGGTCTTGGGAATAGTTTTCAGTTAACTGATATACACTTAATATTCTTAATAAAAACATTATTAATACTGGTAAGGATCACGCATAAGAAAAGTTATAAATCTTACCTCGTTTTCTGCAGAAATTTGCACAGATGCTTCATATTTAATTGATTTCTTCATTTCGGCTTTAACACGGCATTTTATAAGTACCGTGATATCCGGCATTACTTTGAAACAAATATTGTTCACATGTTTTTCCTTGAATAAAAAAGACCCTACTTTTTGACATCAAGAAAAGAGAAATAATTTCTCGCAGTAGCCATAAATTTCTAAATTCGAAAAATCAATTAATTTCAGCGGAATATCTGCTATCGACTCCATTGTAAACATAGCCCATGCCGATGTTGTTGTTCTTAAACACGTGACCACATTTTCCCTCTTCTTCTCTTGCGGAATGCATCTCATTGTGTCAAGGAACTGTTTAAGAGCTTCTACAGTATTGCTGATTAATTCAATAATCAATATTAAGTTAATAATACAATGATATATCTCTTTCAGAATTTTTACAACCGCTGATATCTAGTATTTTCATAAGCGTACTTTCTTCGGAAGATTTTTTAAAGCATTTAATGATTTTCCTGCAGAATAAGTTCCCACACGTAAAGGAAAATCTCTATTATGTTAATGTACTTAATGCTCTAATCTGAAACCACTTTTAGTAATAGTTAATGGTTCATAATTATAATTACACCTGGTTAGATAATTACATCTAATCAGATAGATAATTACACTTCCCTAGTTAGATAATTACATCTAATCAGATAATTACATCTAATCAGATAATTACATCTAATCAGATAATTACACCTCCCTAGTTAGATAATTACATCTATTCAGATAATTACCCCTCCAAAGTATTAGAAGGATATTTGCGTACAATGGGATACCATTTTGGACAAATCTATAATGAAAATCGTCTAGCGTTTTAGGTTTATACATAGAGAAAAATGCGACAGTGTCAGTGCAGTGAATTTCTTCTAAAGGGAACTGAATCTCAAAATTTCCTAGTTTTTGCGCTGCGCATTATTTAAAATAGCTTGTGCGAACAAATTTCTTTTGTTGTTTAGTTGCATGGTAATTATTTTATTCTTGAGATGGCAATAAATCGTCTTAACATTGTGTATCCTAATCTAGGCTGTGGGGTTAGAATCAAACTGGCAAGCAGGGAGTTTAAGGTCAGAGCTAAAAATTCATCAAGCATTCAAGCGGCTATTTCATTTGCACTAAGTTAATAAATGTTTGAGGTTTTCCTCAAACATTTATTAACTTGGTTTTCTTCATAACCTCCTGTTTTCTTCATAACTCAGATATATAAATCCAACAATATTTTGACCATATGAGCTCTTTTACAGTTAATGCATTTAGCTATTTTACCTTATCATAAATATAAGTTGTATTTCTTGAAATACTTTTTATTGTATGAAATTAGAGTCCTGAAATTTTTTCAGAGCTTCCGGATTTGGTGCCAGATGAAATTGAAGTTGAACGGTCAGCATACTTAGAAGATAGACAACTCTTATTTTTGCAGTGCGCTATGGAAGAAAATTGTTTGTCGTCGGAAGCCTATAAGTTGGACAAAAATGATTATGGTAAATTATTTTTAATAATTTTCTGAAATACTTGCAAGCAAATCTAAAATCCCAACTCTCAGAACAAAAGTTAATAATTCCACATATGAAACAAATACCGATATGAAAATATATATGTGGCCACAAATACAAAACAAATACATAAATTAATAATTCAGCAATGAAATAAAAATAATTTAGATATTTACAGATATGTACAACAATATCATAATATTCTCAAAATATTTTACATTTCTGTTCAGTCCTGTTCCTTGATTTTCATTCGTAGATAATATATAAGAAATAAGTATAGAAGTCAAACATTAGAATTTAATACTATTTGTAAAAAGCCATTAGTGTATAATTTCTTTCTTTTTTATGTATTCTTATATTAATCTAATTTTTAAATAAGAAAACTAATGTATAACTGTTCTTACAATATTGTCTTTACATATTTCAAGTAGTATTACCTCTATGCGCACACATTAAACAAAAAACTAAATTTTTAAGTATTAAAAGCTTTTCTTTTATGATTATTTTTTCATATTTCTGGATTGAATTAAATTTTAAATAACGTCAATGACAGCTAGGGAAAATAAAAATAAAAATATGTTCTTCAGAAGCACCTGGGTTTTTCTGTAAGGTTAGATTGAACTATACTGATGATGTGTTAAAAAGGTAGCTGACAAGGAAAAAAGTGTACATTTTGTTTAAAAAAAATGTAAATTATTTAACATTTCTTTACTGAAATCCAGGGATCCTAAAAAATTTAATCTCAGCTATTTTTTATAGCCGAATGGCAATGAAAAAAATTTTAAATGTGCTTTGAAACAGTATTAAGAGAAAGGATCCTAAGCATTCTGTAGTCGGCAGCTTTTATGTTCTCATTCCCTTTTCCAGAACAAATTCTACGACTATTCGATTTCATTTGTTTGCATGATTCAATCTGACATAAATAGAAATATTAATAGGAATTTACAAAATTTCACTGACATAAGTTAAAACATTAATTCTAAAACTCTGCTAACTTAGCAGTAAAATATTTTACATTCATCAAAGGTTGGCAATTTTTTTTAAATTCTCAATTAAAATACATAATTGTGCGAAAGGCAAAAAATTTGAGCAATGAATAAAATGTTCTATGTATCTGGTATGAAATATCCCCCGCCCCTCTTCGAATATTGCAGACTTCCTTTTCATCACCCAAGTAAATGGAGCGTCATGATGACGGAATGCTGGGATATGTAGAGCAACTGATCTTCTCATTATCTGCATTGGGCATAGTAGAAATAATCGCTTCCCCCTCCCCCCAAAATTGATTCTGTCACAGACCTGGAAGTAATGAAAGCATAAATTAAAAAGTACAGCATAAATTAAAAAGTACAGCTAATTAAAATGAAATAATAATGATAATCTTACTATACGAAATGGGAACTTTGTCAACGAACTTGCTACTATACGAAATGAGAACTTTGTCAACGAGTTTTGTAATTATTTTTCAGAGAAGGAAAAATTCACAGATTTATACTTTATGTAAAACAATAGTAGCATTTGAAACAAATAGGAAATCGAAAATGGAAAGGTGTTTATTAAGAAACCAAAGAGAGCAAATTACTTGACAGACTGATGAATCACGTCTCAGTTATTTAAAGAAACAGGCTAGGCATTTACTTATAAATGTTACTACATTTGCCGAAAATTAAAATAAGCTGTTTCTTAGCACGTGCATGCTGATCATTGTTATTTTTGTGTTTCATTTTTTTTTATATATAGGTTGGCTGTATGAACAAAGAAGATTACTTAGGTTTACGGCGAGAATTGGAAACATTGGTACAACAGATTTTAGACCATTTTTACCTAAGCACGCTTGGCAGTGGCACATGTGCCATCTGTAAGTCTATTATCTTATTTCTTAAACTATGTTATTTAAGATTAATAAAATATAGGTACTTTTCAATTAAGTATTTTCAAAATTTCTTTTATACCTCATTCCGTAAGATGCCTTAGGTGGTTGGCTGTCACGCGGATGGGCTCGAAACCAAATAACATCGCATAAGGGATAGAATTTCGTGGCTTTATTACTTCTGTAGAATAAGGATACTAAACATCCGTGGATCCGAAAAACCTTGAGATAGACTGATGGTCAGGTAAAGACAGCATATTTAACTGATAAGAAGTATATAATATTCTTCGATTCCATTCCCGGAGCGCTGTCGGTCAATGCTATTTTTAATCACATTTCTTTCCATTTTGTAAATTTTAAACTGAATTATATTGTTTTATTAGCCAGTTAATTTTAGTTTATTCCACATTTGATTTTAGATAGGTAATTATGCATTGGGCATAGTAGAAATAATCGCTTCCCCCTCCCCCAAAAATTTATTCTGTCACAGACCTGGAAGTAATGAAAGCATAAATTAAAAAGTACAGCTAATTAAAATGAAATAATAATGATAATCTTATAATCTTTCTTTCTGTTGCAGTCATTATCACAGCATGGAGGTATTTGCTCACTTCGATATAATTAATTTGCAAGGTGAGAAGGTTGCAGAGGGTCACAAGGCCAGTTTCTGTTTAGAGGACAATAATTGTTTACCTGGAGTTGAAAAAAAATATGCTTGTGCAAATTATGGAGACCAGGGCATATCCGTAGGCTGCAGCGATACTTATTTGCACAACATTGATTGTCAGTGGGTAGATATAACTGAACTTCCACCAGGAGTTTACAATTTCAAGGTAAGTAATGGAAGTTTATAAAAATAAGATACAAATTAAAATTGAATAATAACATAATATGGACTAATGACTCTGATACTATGTACAATCAATGACTGGTTACTTTTCCCGCGAATTTTTCTTTGCAGTATTTCTATTCACACGCTATCCTTATACTCCTCTCTGCGTAATACGCATTCCTTTCCTTTTATCTTCCTTTCTCTATAACCCAGTACCTGTCCACAAAAATGCAGAAATGCGTATCAGTGTTTTATTTCTTGCTTTGTTCACTGAATACAAATAAAAATCGTGCAAGTTTAACGAAACCATGAGGATTCTACCGAAAAAATTCCCTGAATTGCCCAACTATGCAGCCGCCGCTCCATAAAGAGGCTTCTAACATAAGAAAAACATATGAGTTAAAAAGCTGAAACGTTAGAGAACACCTCCTTACTACAATAACGTTTTTATGAACTCGAAGCCATTAGCAAACTTGATCTTAATTTAAAAAGCAGCTTCTTTTATAAGCTAGAAAATTTGAAACAAGGAGAACTCTTTAAAAATAGCACAGGCATGAAAAATAGCACAGGCATTTTAAAAGTAATTTGAAGAATTATTGCAAATTATAGTTTGAAATGATAACTCGAAACAATGAACCTTTTTTCCCTATTTTGGAAAACCAGTGCGCAAAAAATATCGCTGTTCTGAATCAAACTTATATATCTTCCTTAGATGGGTTTTGTAAACCTCTCGATATATGAATTTTTCTTAAACATCGACGGCCATCTCCTGAGCTGTTTTGAAGTCATCTTACTATTTCTTCACGATTCCTATAGATCAATCATAATAGTCATCTCTCTCGAAACCTAAATATATTTTCGCCATGTGGAATGAAAACCAAAAAGGGAACAGATTGCAGTACTGCAAAAATTACTTAAAAACAGAAAAGCAAAGTAAAGCAAAACCAAAGCGTAAAATGAAAGGAAAAGTTAACCGGTGGTGCATCTGTGTACATCTGTGTTTTAATGCATGTAACTTTTATGGGGAGGCAGAACTTAATCCTTGAAATACTAAAAAATAGAGGAAACATTGTAGAGACATTAGTTAATTTTTTAGAAGCAGGTAAGATGTAAAATGAGCAATCGCCTTCGCCGGGAATCGAACCACAGACCTCAGGTGCAGAACCCCGAAGGCACGCTAGGAAGACGGGAGAAATACCTCATAACATTATGTAAAGTCAATGGTTTAAATCTTAATTTGAACAATTTGTGTTCAAACATTACAAAAACATTACAAAAAATGCATTACTTTCCCAAAGCTTGTGACAGTAAATTCAAAGTAATTGGAAAAGTTATGCACTGAATGAATGATAATTTACATGAAGCTACGCAATTCTGTTCTGTAATCACGACTAAACAGTTAGAGTGAACCACACATATTTTAGTATATTTGTAATCAAATTTATCACATTTTGTAGATTCCAAAAAATATAAGCTGTGCAAAGAAAAGAAACGTACTGTAATAAGGATGTGACCTCTTATCACCTTCATACAAATTCTGCAGCGAAGTTCCACCCTTGAATGAGCGGGTAAAATCCGCCCCAGGACAATAATTGCCCTTCCTCTAAAAAGGTCAATTTTCATTACTTGAAAGCAGATGGAAGTACATGAGCAGTGCACACATCTAAGAGCATTCCAAACCCAAGCACCCAAAATTAATTTTTCAAATTCCAGCGGAAATCTTGACTCATCCGTGAAAAGTAAGTTGTGCCATTCATCTTGCTTTCCAGTCCACATGCTAACGACTCCCCTTCAAAAGTGCTTCTCTAGCTTTGATGCTTAAAGGGGCACCAGGATATACAGTCCTTTCACACGTTTTTTTAAAACTGTTGTAGTAACCATTGCTCTTAATCCGCTAGTCCGGTCAGACCTTTATTTAAATAAGCCCAAATATATTCTTTAAGCACTGATTTGCTTAATGATCTATTTAAGCCGAATCTGAATAAGCTATTCGCATGTGCTGATAGCATTGAGGTAAACCTAAGAGCGGTGGATTGGTTTCCGAAGGCTTTGGAGTGAATCATATTTCTACACGTTTTTTTTCGCACTATATTCCTACTGAAATTTTTACTTTAATTTTTTCCATGGGAGTTTATTATTTTTCAAAATATTATATCCTAGTTTTACTTTTATAAGAATATGCATGTATGTACGATAACCCTAAGATCTTTTATTTATATGAGAAAGGAATTTTGAAATCAGCGCAAACACATAGGTAAATTTATTACGCACATGTGTTCTTTTAAAAAGATGATTATTTTTATAAGTTTTCCCTCAAAGGTGTCAAATTTATAGATTAGAAATAATATTTTACACAATATGAAAGAAAAATAACCGCGTAGGGGGCGCATAATAGAGGATTAACTGAACTTCTATTAGAAAATCCAGCTGCAAAGTTAAAGAAAGTGATGTTAACATTTTACGTTACATGTTATCCTGTTTATTTCAAAATTACATATACATAAGAAACTGACTCTAAAATTTTGTTGTCTTTTTCATCTCAAAATTAATCCACCAGTGGCTGAGCAGTAAAGTTGCTGAACACTGGTAGTTCTGTCCGTGTTTCGAATCACGGCGAACGGGTTGGCTGAATGAGCATTTTCGTGTTTTTCTCCATGTGTAACGTGTATATGAGTCAGGTTGCTTTAAAAGGTTATCCATGAAGACATCCCTTCCCTTAGCCTGATAGCTCTCGAGTCATTTGCCATAGTAAAATAAACAAACTAACAATCATCTCACAATTAAGGCATATTTTTAAAATATGCGGTAAACCCTTGCGAACGCGAAAGTTATGTCGTTAACACATTACGCGTACGGTAAAATCGCGTTCTGCAAAATTAATTTTCTATGGAAAAAAAGTGGATTAGGTATAGTTCAGGTTAAGAAAGAATGTATAATTTATACGAACCTAAATATTATTTTAATTAAAAGGGTAAAATGAAACAAACGTTAAGTCTCAAAATTGAGACCCGGCGAAACCTATTTCCCAAGAATAACGAGAATTGGTACATCGCGCTTCCGTTCAGGAACACAGTAACATTCTTCGACAGTAGCATTATGAGCAAGCTGTAAAACACCAAAAGCACAGAGAGCAAACATCAATCAAAACTCTCCGGACCGTCACCGTGGATGACCTCAAACGTGACAAGCCCACGCACCTTCACCCGCGGCCGATGCTATTCGCACCAGCGGTGCGATTAGCCGCTTAAGCTGTTCGCACCAACATTAACCACGCATGCGCGTTGAGTTGTCAGATCCGTCATTTGAACCCAAACGAAAAGAACAGATTCTACGCATGCGAACTGCCTAAGTGTTGTAGTGAATCTTTTTTTTTTTTTTTTTTTTTTTTTTTTTTTTTTTAAGGCGGGTTACTACCTTGGCGTAGTTTATCCTTTTTTAAGCGTTGGCTACTTTCAAAAGTTTAGAAAGGAAAATGGGTTCCTTTTCTTATAAAAAGAAGGAACACATTTCCTTTTATTAAAAATATATATATAAAAAGTGCAGATTTTTATGTGCGCAATGTTTATCGTTTTCCTGAACGGTTGGAATAGTTTAAATGACTGATTTGGGGGGGGGGCAAAATGTCCTTGTTTACATTTTTTGTTCTTCTTAGAATACATTTAACTTCAAAGATGTGATGTGTTTTGTGCAATCAAGACATTCCTCTTCTCTTCATTCCCCTTTGAAAATTTGCGTCCGAGAAAAGATAATAAAAATTAGAGGATTTTTGTGTAGAAAATGTAGACAATTTCATGTATTTTCAATGGAGACATTAAAAGCGATTAAATAAACTATTAAATGAACAAATAATCATACAATACTGGTTATTAACAATTTTGTATGTCTGTTTATTTTTTTATGGAATTACTTGGCATTTTCAGGACACAAAAAGTATTTAAAAAAACTTTGAAATATTAGTACAAACACATAAATAAATTAAATTTAAATAAATACTGGGATGTAATTTAAAAGACAGAAATAATTTAATGTAAGAGATTTAGATTTAAAAATTTGCACACAGAAATGATTTATCAAATTTTATAAGGTTTTATTTCATAAATAACTTTGATTTTGAAATATGGCATTTGAACCTATAAACATGTGTGGATACTGAAAAAGTGATGAATATATAAGGATATTATAATTTTCAGTAAGTTTTCTTATTGAATAATAAATTCTCACAGTCCTATGCTATAAGACTAGGGTCTAAGTTTGCAATAAAAATTCCTCTGTTAAATCAATAAAAGAATTTAATTAATTTCTGTAGCTTTTTTGTCAATACATTAAAGATTTTTTAACTAATTACAATTAGAACAAAAATTAAATCCCTATTTTATTTAATCATTTCCTGAACATTATCATGTATATAGACCTCGTCTATATACATGATAAGACCTCGTCTTTGTAACTGATAATTATTACTTGCAATTTATTCTCTTGCTGGTGAACTATTAACAACCCATTCTTATTGCTGAGTTGGGTTAACAAGCTTCGTTTTCGCTACCGCCTGCCTTGCTGGTACTTGGGCTGATTGTGCGCATGCGCGAACATAGGTGGTGTGAGTAGCCTCTTAGCTATTCGCACCGTCTGTGCGATTAACCACTGCGTCCACCCGCCCGCCTGGAAAATGACAAATTACATCACACGTGCCATGGCACCTACCTCCACCATTTTTCAGCGGGCTCAACTAGGCATGCTCACCACTGAAAGCACTACAGCCACAGCCCACCAACCCAGCGATCAACTCACGCCCATAACATACACGCTCAAATCGCGACGAGAAGTTGTATCTCCTCATATCACATATAAATTCTGAGGAAGGTGTGTAGGGATATGCTTGCTACTTTGTTTCAGTAAGATGCCTGTATGTGTGATACACAAACGGATACTAGACTTCGGCCGCTGAATGAAACATCATTCTACCTAAACTGCATGAGTTTCGGTCTTTACATTCTGCGGTACACCAACTTCTACATGTTTTCGAAGGTATCTCGAATGGACTTAGCAACCAAGATTGACTGGTGGACTCTTTTTTGATATTTCAAAGGCCCTCCATCGCATTTGGCTAGAGAGAATAACTTACAAATTTAGTACTCTGGGTTTCCTAGACAGCATTACGTTCACAATGAATTCCTATCTCATGGATAGACACTTTATTGTTCACTTCAAAAATACATGCTCAACAAATCGGTAAATCAAAACCGGTGTACCACAAGGGTCAATCTTTGGCCCAATAATTTCTTTACTTTATGTGAACAACCTACCCCGCACTCCCAACACAACGCTTGCCATGTGTGCAGAGGATACTGCGATCCTCGCAGATCGATGAAACTCTTTTCTGAATTCAGTTAAACATGCACTACAAAATCACATGCATGCACTGGAGTCCTGGCTTCAGAGCCGGAAAATAAAGATCAACGTCGAAAAAACGTGGGCGGTGATGTTTTCATACCGAACAGCTATCATCTTTAATATTTACATGTATAATACTGTTATCCCGTAGTCCAAGCAAGTAATCTATCTTGGTGTTATACTCAACCAAAGATTAATATGGAAGCCTCACATTACACGCGTAATCTCTGAATTCCGGAAGTGTAAAGCTACTCTTCACCTCTTAATTCGTCGGAACTTGGTTTTATCTCTTGACAACAAGTTACTCATTCATAAAGCCATGTTGCGTCCTAACACATCACTTATGCCTGTGCCGTCTGGGGTTTCGTATGTAAAACTACGTTTCAGAAACTGCAAATCAGTTAAAACATTAGCTACGCTAAATTGCTCGTGCTTGCTGGTTATACCGTAATGCAACTATACACAAAGAGCTTGGTATAAAACCTATTACTGTATTTATTGCAAAAATTTCCAAAAAAAATTAACTCAATTTGCAGGATTAAATGCTAAATTAAATAAGCCATGTTGCGTCCTAACACATCACTTATGCCTGTGCCGTCTGGGGTTTCGTATGTAAAACTACGTTTCAGAAACTGCAAATCAGTTAAAACATTAGCTACGCTAAATTGCTCGTGCTTGCTGGTTATACCGTAATGCAACTATACACAAAGAGCTTGGTATAAAAGCTATTACTGTATTTATTGCAAAAATTTCCAAAAAAAATTAACTCAATTTGCAGGATTAAATGCTAAATTATGATCCTTATCATGAAATTGACAGAAGAAGGCCTGAAGCCATCCTTAGACGACATTTAGATCATTAATGTGTTCATTTATCTGTTGTGCTTTGTCTTTTGTATCGCCCTCCTTATGCATAGGTAAAAATGGGTCGCAAAATGGCCTTATAAATAAGTGATTTTTGGTCTATTACTAGAAGGCTGTGTCAAGCGATTAGGGGGTAGAGTGTGGATTTACTAGCTCAAAACTTTGTAATTATGTGTTAAGTGTGGGGCTTCCATGTTAAACGATGATCTAAGGTTACACCTAGGTACTTTACTTCCTTGGCCCATGGAATAGTAGTATCACAGAGGGTGAGATTTCCATCAACAGTCAGTTTTATTGTGAGCATGACAGTAATGGGTTTTTCTATGTTGATTTTTATTTTCCATTTGCTGAGCCTGGACTCTAGTGCGTGGATGTGTGTTTGTAGTTGTTGGATGGCTGAGCTAATAGATGCATTTTGGGTGAGGATCGCAGTATCATCTGCGTGCATGGCGAGTGTTGTGTTCTGTGTGGGGGATATCATTCGCCTAAATATTAGAAAATAAAGACGGAACTAGCGCCCTCTGGGGGACACCTGTGCAAATTTTTTGCTTAGTGGAATATGTGTTTTTGATGCGAACGACAAAGTATCGATCTGAAAGATAGGAATAAATTGTTGTAATGATGTGTTCTGGGAAACCCAGAGTTATTAATTTGTAAATAAGTCCATCAAGCAACACGATCAAACTCCTTAGCTATATCTAGGGAGATTGCAGCAGTTTTGATTTTTTCTTGCAAACCAAATGAAATCATTTCCATGACACAATATTATTGATGACCAGTAGATTGATGTTTTCTAAAGCCGTACTGTTGCGGAATTAGAAGTCCTTGGTTTTCAGAACCAGAATAACTTTTATACCAATGAACTCAGATCATCAAATGAATTCGATAATGAAATTTTTAGAAGTTTTTTTAAAGGTTTGTTTGGTGTCAGTTTACTGTAATGGTTATCATGTGTATTTCCATTGAGACCAACACCAAATGACCTATTTCCTGGAAGTTATCATCATTTAAACACTTGTTCTCACTCATATTAAATTTTTTATCCCCAATCTTTTGTTAAGTATTAAACCTAGGTGTTTTTGCAGCTATTTCGGTAAAACATAAAGTTTTTACAACTTAAACTAGCATTTTACCTGTCATCTTAGCTATACTTTCCTATTTCTCGATCTTAGAGGTATGTGAAGTTCAAAACAAATGGTTAGTTTGAACTCAAAACTTAAGCTGATTAACAAAATAATCTAACCTTGCAATTATGATTGGGCACTCTTCGTTGAACAACTTTACTTCATTCCTCTTTTAGCTGTATTTAGTTAAAAAGAGAAGCCATTCCATGGGCTCATTGAAAGCGTCTTAATTTGTATTACAACAGCAATAAAATTTCTTTCTAGTTCCTGAAAGGTTTGGATGATTTCTGGGAACAAAATATTCAAGAGCATAATTCGTAAAATAAAAATGACAATTTATGTTAAAATAACATGCCGAACAACGATTTATTTAGAAGTCAAACAACAGAAATCAGAGTTATATTTGCGAATTTTCCAGGACTAATTTCGATGGTTTAACTACCGAAACAACTTCAAGGCAGCTGAGGAGGCTGGCTCGGTAGTTAAAACATCGAAACTAGTTCTGGAAAATTCACAAATATAACGCTGATTTTTGTTATTTGACTTCTAAAAATAATCAAAATAACAGCTTTTGTTACTTACAATTTCATTTTACCCTCCTGTATGTAACTTTAAAATGTCACTTTGTCAGTATAAGACCCAAAAGTCTGCATATTCTTTGCATTATCCTTCTTTGTCATTAATATTGTTTATATACAGACTGAGATTTACTAATTATTTCATTGAATATCGGGAACTATAATTTCTCCACTTTTTCGTTGCAGGTGTCAATAAACCCGGAGTTTAAAGTAGCAGAGCTTAATTACGACAATAATGCTGCGGTCTGCCAACTTTTTTACAACGCAGTTTCAGCAAGACTTTTCAATTGTACACTTCAGAGACCATAAAATTGCATAATCATTTCAATTGCAGTCTACAAATGCTATGCAATGCATAACTAATGAAGTCGCCTCTTTCATTTAATAAATACTTTCGTAATTAACACGAACTAGTTTTGGAAACTTTATGTGGTAGAAGACAGCTTCTGAGGTAGTCTTTATTCATCGTTAATTTATTTATTTCAATGTTGATACGTTTAAATTTGTAAAGTCTATGTCTGCAAGCTCAAAACGTGCCTAGTCCTAACATTTAAAACTGAGTTAGCTGTTTATTCTTAACTTGTGTAAATATCCAAGCATGTAATTTTACAAAATTTTGTTATATCAGCTTATGTTCTTATTTATTACTTATGTACTAACTTCACATTTTCAAATAATTTTGTATTCATAGAAGTATAAGCTCATGTGTTGATAGTAACCAGTAACATATACCGAATTGTAAAAGGCAGTCTTTTGCCAGATCGAAGCCATTATTTTATGCACATATTTTAGTGTTATGCAATATTGTATTCAGTTGATCTTTGTTTGGCTAATATCATAAAAAGTTAGCTAAATAGTCTTGATAGGCATATATTCGTATTTTAATATAGCCCTCAGAGTGTTTTTAGAATTTATTTCCATAGGTTTTTCATTTTTAATGTATTTTTATTATATTTTTGCAGTGCTTATTTGCAGTTTTATAAATATAATCTTCCAAAAATATATCTAAAGCTGTCTTTCTGCTGATATCATTCGGTTCTTCCATCAGAATACTATTTTTATTACATAATTTTCAACTCACTTTTTTGCTTATTATTTGTAAAAATAAATTTTAAAATGATTAAAAGTGAATAAGAATTATCAAATAGGTATGAGTTAATTTTTACTACTTTCTGTTTTAAGCAAGGATAAAAAATTACTTTGCTCAGTATTGTGAAATCAAATTCTATATAAAGGTAAAAATAAAGATTTTACTCATCGAATTTGCATTGTTATGGTTGTCATACTTGACTTTTTCTTTACATCTGGTGGATATTATAAAATAAATTAATAGTAAAAGCCTATCATAATTTACATTATTGCAGTTAATCTTTTTCTTTCCAAGCAAAAGAAAGTAACTCAGGCACTCCACCAATAAAAACTGCACACCAGTGTACTTACTTCTGAATATTCGCAAGTCGGGCCTCCTTAAGAAATACACAGACAACGATCTTATTTTTAGCAAAGAATTCTTAATAAATGTGTTAAATACTAAATGCTTGAAATATTGTAGACTAACTGTAAATTAGTAAGTTTCGTATTTCGAAACTAGTTAAAATAGTATGAATTATTAATTTATGAAGAATAATGTATTTCTTATTTTTACGGTTACTAGTTTTCTCTGAAATTCATTTATTTAGATTAGAAAAGCAAGATCGATCAGAAATGTTATGCTTTATACATCACCTTACATCTTCGTGAAAAATTTCATTGTAAATTAATAGTTTTTCACTGCTTGAAATGACTCTGTCATTCTCTATACTATAAGTAATATAAAATAGATTTAAGTAACATAAAATGCATTAGGTTTCATTTTAAATTAATCTAGCCAGTTTACGATTATTTTGAATTAAATTTCTATGTAGCGAGCTTTACGCAAAAGCATGTTAGTGGTAATAAGCTAAATAATTTTAGAATTCTCAATTTAGTATCTTAGTTTCAGGGTTCCTTTTAAGGATTTCAAAGATCTTTTGATTGGAATTTGAAATATCACAACACATTTAAGGTGCATTTAAATTAAACAAATCGCAATTCACCTTGAGAATATTTTACGGAATCCATTAAAGAAAAAGTTATAGAATTTTCGGTTTATTCAGAAAGTATATCTTGTTGGATTCTTATTGTTACAAGAAATATTATTCAATATTAATGTAATAAAACTTTTATTTCGTCAGTTATTCTAAAGAATATAAGTACTGATAAATAAGTACTGGCATATTCTACTCACACGCACCGGTGAATTAATATTTAAAAACATAGTTATAGGTGTGGTGTGGTGTATTTAATTATGGCAAAGCACACTAGGGCTATCTGCCTAAGGGAAGGGATGCCTTCGTGGAGGACTTTCTAAGGGAAACTGGCTCGTATACATGTTACACATGGGGAAAACCACGAAAACACCCATGCAGCCAGCCCGTTTGCGGGATTCGAACCTCGGACCGAACTACCAGTGTTCAGCGACTTTACTGCTCGGCCGCTGGTGGGCTCAACATAGTTATAGGAGAGGCGTGAAGATTTCGCTTCTGACAGCAATCAGCCTCTTAGAGTGCAAATGAATGAATTGTCGTTGAAAGGTGCAGATGATTCCTTCTTTTAATTCTTGTCTATCGGCTGTTTTGTTTTGAATAAGACCTGATTTGTCATTAAATTGTTCACACTAAATAGGTGGCGTAGATATTCTGCTTTAATCAAGAGTAAACTCCAGGACTTCTTTCTCTTTATATACTAATGATCTAAACATACAATCGTTGACTATACCTATTATGTTTTTCCTCTTAGAAGGTTGAGGGGCCCTCCCGCTATAATTTAAATGGCAGTTAATTTCCATCTAATTAAGAACCCAATCATTTGGAAGTTCCTAATTAAATCAAGGACTGACTAGAGACCAAAGAAATAAAACATAACCTCGGTGTTTCGGCCCGGGTTTGATTTCTAGCAAATGAAGTGGATGGTTGTGTGAGGTTTCCGCAGTTTTGTACATGTGTGATACGTAATTGAGTCGTCCTTTCTTACAAAATGTTCGTTGGACAGGTAGCCGTCCTAAGGCAGATGGCCTATGAGCGTTTTATATATATTTCTACTAAAACACTTCTACCTAGAGATTGACTGGCTGATTGGAATATTCGTAGGTTTAGCCATGTGTAACGCAAATACGATCCAGTTTTGCTGGGAAAATCCTTCGTGAAATATCCCTTTCTTTAAGTAAATAGATGATTTTTTTCGTTCGACCAACGGCACCAACTTAGGCTACAATTCGTATTCTTTTTATCCATTTTACTTAATGTTTTCTCCCCAAATGGTCAGACACTTGCTTCTCAAGTATTTCTCTTTGCCATAAATTTAGCTTATTTGACTCATTATTTATTCACTTTCATCTTCACTGAAATTCAAAATACGACCGCTGTTTTTAACTTGACACATACTCCACAGTCTCAAATAATTAAGTTGTGATTTTTCTAGAATTTTATATGAGCTATCACACTTAAATTATTACATTTTATTCCAGCTTATTGCACTGCTTTAAAATATTTACAATACGTGCATGTTATTTAGACTTAACAGTTACTATGTTACTAGAAAGACGAATCCCCCATCTCCCTCCGGCCGATAAATTTATTCAGCCATAAAGCTTTTAGAGGAGACTTAACAGTTTTGGAATAACAGCTTGGGGAAGAAAGCAACTTTCCTCTCTATCTGTATTCTTTTCTTTCCCCTCTTATGGGCTAAAATTGGATTTTTATGTAGCTCGCGTAAAAGTTCTAGTACCAAAACAGCTGGTATAGCCAGCCTTAATTCAAAGTTTTTATTAATTTCTTTTCTATGAAACAAGAAACCATCGGTTATTACATAACGTTCGACATCACTCTTAATTCCTATTTCGTTCACTGCTTGAAACTATTCTGGGACTTTTCAATATGCATAAAATTTTCGAATTCTGCGCTATGTTGCAGTTCCTTAATCAGAGTTTCCCTAGAATCTAAAACGGCAGAAATTAATATGTTACACTAATTTCGTCTACCTTTCCTTGATAAGCATCTGCTATTTTATTTTCCCTTCCCGAATAATATTGAAATTTCATATTGTACTCTTGCAGTTTCAGGGTTCATCTACCATTCTCGAAGTTAGATTTCTTCCATTTTCCAACTTCGTTAACGCCATGTTATGTGCAAATATTTCATTTTATTTCTCAGAGAAATAAATTCTCAATTTCCTCCTCATACACGCATGCCAGTCACGGAATAATTTCTTTCCGCCGGATTCATAATTCTACTAAAATTCGCTATCAAGTGCCCATCTTGCATCAGAATTGCTCTTATTGAAAAATCTGTTTCATCCGTGTCAATTTTGCATTCTTGTCTTTTGTGGGTCGGATTCTTTCAAAACCGATGTTGTGCCCCTTTCGGATCATTTAAACCTTGCTTTTTCTAACTCCCAAAGGGCTCGGAATGTTTGAAAATGTTTTTATAAACGTTCTAACACGAGCATAATCCGTGGAACGATGCTGAGATTTTAGCAGTGTTTGGGGAAGGACAGTTTTTCACCGCAAGAATTTTCGGCTCGTCTGCTTTAAAGCCTTTTTATGAGATCTTTAAATCCTAAATACCATAACTCGACAAGCAAATTTACATTTCTTGATATTTTTTGTCTGGCATTTTTTAATAAAGGAAATACTTTACATGCCTTTACATGATCTTCTAATGATTCCGAAGTTACAATTACATAATCTAAATAAGTAGAACGATTTTTTTCCAGGATCAGCTGAAGAACGCTATCATCTGCCGCTGAAAATTGCTGGACTGTCCGATAACACAAACTTCAAGCGTAAAAATGCATAACTCACTTGATTCGTGATAAAGGAAGTTTTATTAATGTCTTTCGGCCTGACAGCTGTTTGAAAGCATCCGCTAGTCAAGTCCAGCGCTGTCATGTGCCTCGTAGTTTTTATTCTGAGAATTATTTCCTTTTCGTTGGATACACAGTGCTATTCATTTCCTTGTGTTTTTTTTTTTTTTTTTCCCTTCAGCATATTATTTCATTATTTACTCCTATGTCTCTTCTTTTCGCAAGATAAATACATTCAGCACTAGTATTGCTCTTCCAAAACTCATGAAAATACGTGCATATGGGTCTCTTCACGTAGCAGAAAAATTTTATTTAGTATACAATTCATAGCACTAACAAGGCATGCCCCTCTTAATCTATTACTCATTTGAATGGTTCGATATTCAGTATATATGGTTACCTTTGTATTCTCATTAAAGGACAGATCCAGGGAGCAAATCATGCAGGTTAAGTTTATGAATAGTTCTGATAATAGGGTTTAAATGGCTGAGATGCTAATTCAACCCAGTGGATGGCTGCCCCATTATTAGTGTAAAAAAGTAAAAGTAGATACATGGCGTACTTCATGATTGTATTCAATTTACGATAAGTTAACGGCGAATGTCCAATGTCGAAAATCTGTTGCTGGATATACATTTTTATTTCTACACAGGACTACAGAACTCGCGTATACTTGATACCGGAACTGTTGGTTTTGTTTTTCAACAGGTTTTTTTTTATATTTTCATCATTGATTCTTTTTTTAACCGCATAACACCTACAAAGAACATTTTGACTTGTTTCAATCACGTGTGTTATGACAGTTGTTAGATCAGGCTTATCGTTAAACAAATCGAAAAATTTCCTCTATGATACTGATTATTTCCTTCTCAGCTCCCATCGCAAGGCATTCAAACTTAACATTGGGCGTCGACTTAAGCACTCCACATATTTTACCTATTATTAGTGTCGTCGTGTTCCTTTTAAAATTAATTTGTGATTTACGTTTTGCAGAAAAAGACCAAAGTAAGAAAAAGACCGTCAACTTTTAAGCCTTTTAAAACCGAAAATAACATCTTTTTAAGTTCCATTTTTAACATTTATGTTTAATGCTATGCTACTTAATACCGAACATTGTCCACCTTGTGCAGCTAAACGTTCAATATCCTGTACATCCCGAAGTATTTAAAAATATCTGACAGTCAAAAACCTTCTGTCGCTACCACTATAAAGCATAGCTCTCGTTGGTAATGTAATGTAATATACGAGTGTGCTGCAACCCTCCTGGCCGATAATATTCGGCCTCATGGTCAACGCAGCACACCCAAACCGGAGCGAAAATACAGTTAAAAGATTAAAACACAGATTAAAGCAGAAATAAAGTTAAAAACATCAAACAACA